AAAAGGATATAAAAAGTGAAGCCCTCTGCGTGTCCCTTATTAACATTAGTGGACTCTGATTTGGAAATTATTCCTGGAGTCCACTAATGTTAATAAATGGGGTCTCTCCCTTTCTCTAGGAAGCCTGCTTGGTATTTCTTTGGTCTTCCACAACAATATGATCCAGGATGAACCGAGATAAAATGCCCCAAACCAAGATATAGCCTAATGAAGGTTAAAGGAACTAGAGTTACACACAAAACAAAAAGAAAAAGTTACACACAACAGAGAAAAGTCAGGAGGCAACCCTCAGGCTTCACCACAAAAAACATCTGTTCCAGCAGACAGAGAACAACACTTAGATCTGTAAGAAAGTGTGGGCTAAACATTTATATTTAGCAAATTTGCTCTTCATATAAAAACACAAAAGACAGAAACTCTCCAGGATGAGAGAATTCAAACAAAATATCCCTGTGAGCTCTTGTGGACAAAGAAAACAAAGCTCTTTGGTGATAAAATCCAGGCATCTGTGGAGGAAAGAGGCCATATGCTACCCTGACAAGCTCAGGGAAGGCCTGCATGGCAGTCTTGCAAACTCAGAAACCTAAAGGAACCACAGAGGATGGTCTGAAATTAAACTTTAACTAAAAGCAGTTATGGTGGGTAGTTACATCCTATGCCAGTATCTTCACTTTACCTTAACTGAGCCTATGTCTTTTTGCACCTGTAATAACATACCCTTTGAAATGTCTATATAACTTGTAACTGTCCCTTTTTCTGGACCCCTTGGGGCACAACCTAAAGTGCTGGGCGCCAGGACTGATACCACAAATTCTTTCATTATCATCTTAATTGTTCCTGTGTCTATCATTTTACTTTTTATCCAATCCCAGGGGTTTCCCTGCTTTGCTTTCTCCTGCCTCTCGATGGATTTCATGTAATCCATCTACATCCCTTTCCTTTGATTGCAATATATAAATACAGATGGAACCCGCCAATCTCCGGAGCACTATCTCAATTCGTTGAGGTTCTGCTTCCTGGCATATGTCGACAGTTTGGCTCAAACAAACACAAAAACTCTTTACAGGTTTCAATGTGTTTTGTTTTTTTTCTTTTTACGTTAACACATCTAAAGGGTACAATCAAAACAACAGATTCAGAAATGAAAGGGGCCCTCGTAAAATGGCCAGTTGAGTACACTCTGGTGACAGTCTGCTGGGCTCCATTCACATGCTGTGTTACCTTGGACAAGTCCTTTAGCTCTCTGTACCTACATTTCCTCATTGTAAAATGGGCACAGTTGTTGAACTTAAGACTGAATTTTTTTTTTAATGTATTTTATTGATTTTTTTTACAGAGAGGAAGGGAGAGGAAAGAGAGTTAGAAACATCAATGAGAAAGAAACATCAATCTGCTGCTTCCTGCACTGAGGATGTGCCCTCAACCAAGGTACATGCCCTTGACCAGAATCAAACCTGGGACTTTTCAGTCCTCAGGCCGACACTCTATCCACAGAGCCAAACCGGTCAGGGCAAGTCTGAAAATTTTTTTTTAAATATATATTTTATTGAATTTTTACAGAGAGGAAGAGAGAGGGATAGAGAGTTAGAAACATCGATAAGAGGAAATCATCCATCAGCTGCCTCTTGCACACCCCCTATGGGGGATGTGCCTGCAACCAAGGTACATGCCCTTGATGGGAATCGAACCCGGGACCTTTCGGTCCTCAGGCCGACGCTCTATCCACTGAGCCAAACCGGTTTCGGCAAGACTGGAATTTCTGAATACTTTATTTGGCTCACGTGTAATGCACCTAGAATAATGCCTGATACAGAAAAAGAGCTATGAACTAGAAGTGTGCAAGCTAATATTTTATTTTAGAATAACTCTGAACAACTATGGGCTGTTGCTGAGAAGTTAGAAACCTTGAAGTCTTTACAGCCAAAGACATCCAAAATATGGCTACAAGACTAGTCTAGTGAGGAGAGCCTATTGCCACGGCCAAGGACCGATGCTACAACTTATGACCCCAACCCCTCAGCACTGGACACTGTTGGCCACCACTGGCACTGCTGCTCCTGAATCTTGCTGCAGCGGCCGTGAGAGAGTGCACCGGTCACATATCACAGCCGAGGTGCAAAGGACACTGGGAAGTGAGGACCTGCACTTTCAGCTTTGTGGTGGCAGGTGGACTCTGTGTCCTACCCAGATTCGCGTAGGGGAGAATTTCCCGTACACAATAAGAGCACTCGGATGCTGGGCCGCTTAAAAGAATGACAGATCTCCTCTTCAGTAAAACAAGGCAATCCAACGTAAGAGAGATAAGAGCATGACCCTCTCTACACAGAGCACCAAAGCGCAAATGCTCTGCGACTGTGGACGAGTTAATTAAGCTTCGGGAGCCCCAGTTTCATCTATCTGTAAATGGAGATGGTGATAGTACCACTCTCATAGTGCTGTCGTGAGGATTAAATGAGTGAATTTATTAAATGAGCTCTTTCAAGTGTTCGGTGAAGGTTAAATCTGAAAGTAATATTTCTTACATTCCACTCCTTCACTGCTCAAGATCAATGCATGCATTTCTTCACATTCTTATCCCAAAAGAGCTCTCACCTAACAAAATTAAATCATCCTGCACGAACAAAATTATACCCACCTCTTCTTTTAAGTCCCAGGTATCTGTTCCATTTCTCTTTTATTCTATCACAGCTCTGATCGATAGTGTTTAATATATAGACTAATATTTAAACTAAAATGCTCTATGCTGAAATTGGTTTGGCTCAGTGGATGGAGCGTCGGCCTGCGGACTGAAAGATCCCAGGTTAGATTCCAGTCAAGGGCATGTACCTTGTTTGTGGGCACATCCCCAGTGAGGGGTGTGCAGGAGGCAGCTGATCAATGTTTCTCTCTCATCAATGTTTCTAATTCTCTATCCCTCTCTCTTCCTCTCTGTGAAAAAATCAATAAAATATATTTTAAAAAATAAAAATAAAAAAATAAACTAACGTGCTCTATATGTAACTGCGGGAGCAATGGGGAGAAAGAAGAGGGGAGCTAGAGTACATGAGCATATTTGTGGCACAGTAGCAAAAACACGTGTTGCTGAAATTGTTCTCATTTCTGCAATGCTATATAAACACCAATGTTGGTGTTTCCACCACCTAGTTCATGGGCTTTTCATCAGCATCCCATCTGGTTGAATGAAATGAAACCAAACCTTATGAAAGTGAATCAAACCTTAAATTCAGCAGGATCTGAGCCTTTTGTGATCTGGTTTCTAGCAGGTTACTGTAGTGTTCCACTTACTCTCACCATTGGCAGTAGCTGTGGCAGTTGAGAAGGCAACCCAGTGGTTCCCTGGGCGCCTTACCCATATTCCTTCTCCCCCTCACTGTGAGCCTTGGTGCCCATTGGGTTCTCTGGAAGCGATCCTCACCTGGGATGTTATGGGAGCAGAGGCAGAATTGAACTGTGTGCCAGCCTGGTGGGAGCTCTGGAGGGATCACTGCCTGGCATGGGCTATCCCGGGAAGGGGCTGGCCCTGGCTGAGGCAGCTCTGTGCAAGTCCTTCCTTCAAAGGGACCTGGGTGACTCAGATCCCTGTGTTCTCTCAGCAGCAATCCCATTTCACCTCAGGGGTCAGGCACAATCACTCCTTCTACATAGTAACTCCTCTTCCTTTATTCACCCAGTGCCGTGGTCCTCGTTGGCAAACTGCGGCTCTGAGAGCCACATGCAGCTCTTTGGCCCCTTGAGTGTGGCTCTTCCACAAAATACCACAGCCTGGGTGAGTCTATTTGGAAGAAGTGGCATTAGAAGATTAAGTTTAAAAAATTTGGCTCTCAAAAGAAATTTCAATCGTTGTACTGTTGATATTTGGCTCTGTTGACTAATGAGTTTGCCGACCACTGGCCTAGTGGCCTGTGGAAACCTCACCTTCCAATCCATTAGAACTGTAGGTGCATCTGCTGCTAGAGGCATTCCTTCCCTGGGCACAGAGCAAAGCACAGAATGTTGAAAATGCACAATGAAAATTTTGCAAATGGTCACAGAGCACAATGATTGGAGGTGTTGCCTCCATCTGCTTTGTCATTGGAGCACACAGCTCAAAATATAGTATTGTAGTTTTAGGAAAACAGAGATTGATGTGTTCATGTTATGGGGGAGGGGGGGAACCTGTATGTTAATCAAATTGTGGCAAATTGAATTGTATTTTAAATGCACTTGGGAGCTCAAAATATAAAGGAAATTATTCTGCAAAAAGAATATTATTTTTGTTAATCAAATAGTCACTTTTTCACCCTCTAACTTCCTTTTCCCAAGCTGCTCTCCACCTCTAGCAAAATTAATATATTTTATCCATTACCTTGTATGATATTGAGTTTTAAGAGTAACACACACAGGCTCTGTTATCCACAATTTAATATCCCATAATGTTTCCTGGAAATAGTGGTTTCTTGTTTCTAATGAGATAACTAGGGTTTATGAAATTATCCCAGCAGGAGGCAATAGAAATGTGAATATAAAACCTTTCCATTAATGAATGGGAAAAGTTAAATGTCCCTGTGAAAGGGCCTTAAGCACTTAGTCTCATTAAGAAAAATGTATGCCCTGGCTGGTTTGCTCATTGGATAGAGCCTAGGTCTGTGGACTGAAAGGTCCCAGGTTCGATTCTAGTCAAGGGCACATGTCTGGGTTGCAGACTCAAACCACAGTAGGGAGCATGCAGGAAGCAGCCAACCAATGATTCTGTCATCATTGATGTTTCTCTCTCTCCCTTTCTCTTCCTTTCTGAAAGAAATTAAAAAAATATGTTATTTTTTTAAAAGAAAAATTCACAAGGAAAGGTGGTGGAGGGTGGGTGAATGGGTAAAAAGAGATCAACCAAAGAACTTGTATGCACCTGAGCATAACCCAAGGTGGTGAAGACCTAGGGCAGAGGGAACTAGAAGAGATCAAAGGGGAGGGAAGCATATGTAATACTTTCAACAACAAAGATTTTTTAAGTAAAATTTAAAAAAAATCACAGTAGTAAGGAGATACCTGATTGGCGGTGTTGCTCTTATATCATTCAGGGGCAAAGCAGACGTACAGTTCATCCTAGCTTGATGCCTGTGTTGGTGCCAGAGCTGTTTCATGCCTGAGGCACATAAAAAAAAATGTCACGGTAGCCTAAAGCGTTAAGTGGAGATGTATATAATACATAACTACAGTACAGTATCATGGAAACTGGAATATTTTAAGACTTTAGGAGTAAAATGAGTGTCTTTAAATCATTGCGATACAGTTGTAATAACCTAGTTATTATTTAACAGAAAATAGTATAGGCATGCCATTTACACAGCTTTGCCAAAAAGTTGTATTTAACATTCTCCGCTAATTGAAGGGGAAGGGACTAGACACAGGTAGCTCATACACATGCCCAGTAAAGAGGGAGTGACATGGAAGGCTAATAGCCTGTCAATCACACCTGGAAACAAGTCATTGGCCGGCATGGGCACTGCCACTGCAAAGTCAGGGTTACCTAAATATTTAAACTTCCAAACCAAGGAAGTCAGGCCCTTTTCTCTCTCAGGTGCAGGCCCTCTGGGGGCTCCTGCTGCAGGCGGGATCTGCCCGAAAGGTGCACGGACTTGAGTCTGGCCTGAATGTTGAACCACACCTGAACAGAAATTGGATGCTGGCCTGTTTCTGACTCTGAACACCCAATTGCTCCTCTTCCAGGATTGGCATAGGGGGCTTTAGGACCCAAGAAATGTAACTTTTCACGAATACAACCTTCTTCCATAGCCCGTCTTCCCGTGTGAATTTCAGAAAATTCATTTTCTGAAGATATCACAAGAGCCTCATTCCCACTTATGTCCTGGCATCAATTGTGATTAGATTTTTATTTTATTAGAAGAGTCTGGTTCTAACAGACTCTTTAAATGCCTCAATTTTACCAAGACTCTGTAATGTTTGTTTTTGCAATGTTCTATAGGATTGTTTATTATTATTTCAACATTTTCTGCATGTTGGATCAAGGGGTTATAAAATACGTTCTTCCATCCCTCTTCCCCTCCCCCCATCACCCCCCTCACACTTTACCCACTCCCCTCCCCCCAAGAAGCTCACAGTCTCTTGGGTATACAGAAGAGTACATAAAAAGTTATGCTGTTCAAATATTTTTAAATGATATGTGTGCCCTAATAGAGGTCTGCATAAAATGGCCTGAAAGAGGGCAGTTAGGAGGATGACACATGGACATGTCACTCAAGCCAAGATGTAAGGCTCTGTAGGAATTAGCCAGAATAAGGTGCCATTGCTCCTTCTTGATCTTTCAGTGGTAAGAACGGTCCTTCAGTTTGCCCTGCGGGAAGATAAGGAGTCAGCCTTCTTTCACCCCTTCCATATGCACTGTCCCTCCCATTCTGCCATCCCCACTGAGAGAACCACATCATCATTTGGTTAGATCAAGTTCTTTATTTACATTACAATGTAAATGCTATTCATATTTGAACCATTAGGCATATCATGATAACTTTTCCTTATTAAATATAATTTCTTATTAAATATAATTTTCCTTTTATCTACTGGGTTTCAAGTCACAGATTCTCTAAGTCTCTAAATGTCCACTCCAAATTTTTGATATATCAACTTTTGTATTGATTTATCTTCTTCATCTGTCCTAGAGCCTTATGGCCAGTGCCAAGGCCCTTCATGCTGGTGCCATCAGCCTGGATTGCAGCAGGTCAGGGGCTGGGTTTCTCTTCACTCTCCTGTCAAGAATGGCTTTCTCTCCCATGGATTCACTATCCTGTTTTCTTGTCTCTTAATTTAAAAAAAAAAAAAAATGTTTCATTGATTTCAGAGAGAGGAAGGGAGAGAAAGAGAGAGGGATAGAAACATCAATGATGACAAAGAATTATGGATCAGCTGCCTCTTGTACGCACCTCCTGAGGATTGAGCTTGCAACCCAGGCATGTGCCCTGATCTGGAATGGAACTGTAGACTGTCTGGTTCATGGGTCAATGCTCAACCACTGAGTGACACTGGCCAGGTCTTTCCTCTTAATTTATTCCCTCATGCTAGGTATCTCCTGATGCCCCTAGAAAGTACAATTGTTGAAACCTCTCATGTTTGGAGATGGGATTTGAGAGGGAAAGTTAGGTTAGTTAGGGAACCCGAGGACACTCTGTGGTCAGAGGGATGTATTCATTATCTTGATTGTAGAGATGGTTTCATATTTGTATACATACGGCAAAACTCATCAAATTGTGTGCAATTAAGTTGCAAGAAAATAAAAAGAGGAACAAAGATATGCATATAAAACTCAAAAGTTTATTAACTTATATTAGCAAATCTGAGGGTAAGCAGGTACTCATATACAATACTGGTGGGAATACAAATTGTACAGCCTGTATAAAAAGGAATTTGACAATATCTAGCCAAACAACAAATGCGCTTAACCTTTGGCCCAGCAATCAATCCCACATTTAAGAATCTGTACCAAACATACATTGGCAGAAATACAAAATGATTCCGTGCTATATACTTTGTTGAAGCACTATTTGTAATAACAAAAGATTGGAATCGATCTAAGTATCCATCAGCAGAACACTGATAAATGAAGGTACAGCCACAAAGTGAAGCACTACTCAGTTGAGAGGAAATAAGGACGGTCCCAATATACTGCTATGGAGTGATCTTCGGGATGTATTGTTACATGATGATATCAAGTTATGATATCATCATAACTTATACTTTTTGTTCCTGAGAATGCTCTATATCTTGATCTGAGTGGTATCCACATGGGGTGTATAAATATGTAAAACTTCATTGAGTTACACATTACCATAGGTATGTTAAATCTCAATTTAAATTAGAAAAAAATAACATAAATAGGAGCAGATTAAATAAAGAGTGGGAGAAGAGGAAATGGAAAGAGTGGGACTTGGCCATGAACAGGCAGCACTGGTTAGAACAGACTGTAATGCCATGGGAGAGTTTTTCTCTCCCTCCTTTCTGCCTGCCTTTGTTCCTTCCTTGATATAATGGGAAAGATTTAAGCATATGTAAAAGCTGATGGTTGATGAGAAAGACCAGTTGAAAAGTAAGGTTGACTCCATGTAAGAAAAACAAAGAACAGTCTATAGTGCAAGGTCCTTAGAAAGTTGAGATTGCCCTTAGCAGAGAGACACCATCTAACGGAAGGAAAAGAGGCTAGCATGGGAGCAGCTACAGGAGAGTTGTAGGACTGGGAGCCCCAGGCACATGGATGCTCTGTAAGGGAGCGGACTGAGTAGGGCTTGCAGTGGGAGTGCAGAGAGCTGGTTGTAGAATCCAAGAAGAAGAAAGGGTTTGAAATAATATCGTTGGGAGTGGGAGCGTCAGAAATGAGCTGGACAGGAAATGTCAGGTATGAAGGAGTGTCAGGTATGAAGGGTCTATTTGAAGTTCATGAGCACATGCCTTTCTCCAGAAGGGCTCAGAGGAAGCAGAAGGTTGGATCCATCCAGAGTTGGATTTTGCCAGCTAGGTACAACTAAGACATAAGGGGGTTTGTATAATTGGCCAAGCATGTTATTAAAATGACAAATCATTCAGTCTGAGGTGGATAAATGAGGAAGAAAAAAAAAAAGCAGAGGGCTGATTGATGAGAAGTAAACAGAAGGCTGAAAGGATGGGCGTTCAGGTGAGGTTGGAAAGTGATTGCGAGAGCTGGGGGTGGGGGTGGGACTGAGCAAAAAGAGTGTCAGCATTTCCCAAAGTGTGCTCTGAAGAATATTACCAGAAAAATGGCTCGTGCGCTAATAATGCATCATTAAGATTCTGAGATATCTTGTGTCACAGAGGCCTGTGCTGTGTTTAGCAGAGCACTCTCTGAACCCTGGAATTACTAAGCCTTTTCAGTGGAACATCTATAAACATTCTTCTAAACTAGCGTTCTTCCAAAATCTTTTAGCAACTCTGCTTTGTCACATGCTGAAACTCTTACATTAACAGAATGAAGCGAATAATTATCACAGCATGTGATCATTATTTTTATATCTGCTTTAATGTATTTCAATATGAAAAGGTTATTTTTCTATCATATTAAAAGCATATATAAGAGTAGAACATATGTTTAAAGGTTAAATTAGGGGGTATGGCTCATGAAGTTAATACTGTTAGGCTTACCTCATTCTGCTGTAAAGGTGAATAAAAGACAACACTATTGTGTTGGATAGAGTCCAGATTTAACCACTAAGATTATTATCTTCATCTGCATTAATAAACCTCGTTTGAACAGTAAGAAGCCTCTCTTAAAACCAATTACATCTCAGCTGCAGAAAGACTTTGAATATAATAAAGGTCCTATGTTAATCACATCAAATATGTATTTCTATTCTCTAACTGTATAACAGGATTTCTACTATATATAGTAAAAAGGATAAAAAATAGCCATTACAACATATAAGTAGAAAAAGTCTCCATTTTCTTTCACTTCATTTCTGAGACATTTAAAAACAATAAAAAAGTAGGTATCTGATGTAAACTGAATTAATGTTTTTGCTGCCAATGTCTAAAGGAGGATTATACTTGTCCACCTCCTTGACATTAGTCTTGGGCCAGTGGCCAGCAAACTCATTAGTCAACAGAGCCAAATATCAACAGTATGATTGAAATTTCTTTGAGAGCCAAATTTTTTAAACTTAAACTTCTTTTAACACTACTTCTTTAAAATAGACTCACCCAGGCTGTGGTATTTTGTGGAAGAGCCACAATCAAGGGGCCAAAGAGCCGCATGTGGCTTGCAAGCCACAGTTTGCTGACCTCAGATCTCGGACAATGAAATGTGAGTAGAAGAGACATGAGTTACAAGCAGAAGCTCTAATAGACACTGCATGGTTCACCATGACCTGTCTCCTTGTTCTACAGGCTGCTCCATCAGCCTGACTCCCTGGGTAAAGGGGACACAGAGCAGAGCTTCAGCTGATCCTTAAAGGATGCATAGAATGAGCAAGAAATGCCAACAGGAGGGGGTCATTTGTTACCACAGCTTAACCCAGTTTGTGCTGACTAATGCAGAAATTATATCCTGTGCCCTCTCTTCAAGTCTCCCAAACTGGCAACTGTTAACAAACAGAAATAGAAGTAAGCACCAGAGGCATAATACTCCCTCCAGAGAATG